CCACTAAGGGCTGAGGCCCACTTTTCAGTGATCTGAACAGTGAACACGTCTAGGTTAGACTAGGTTGAGTCTAGACTTTGATCCAGAGTCTTTGATAAAGAAAAACATTGATCATTTTAAAGAGACTCCCGATGTTTTATTTTCCGTCTTTTTTTTTTTTTTTTTTACTGTCCACAAACTTTAACTTTCGCCCTTCTGACAAAAATTAAAGCCAACAACTAGATCTAGTTCTAGATCTAAATCTAGATCTAGATCTAGATCTCGATCTAGAATAGTATTGTTTTTTTGTGGGTTTTTTAGAATTATAGGCTCCCATCCTCGTATAGATCTCCTTCGTTTGCACACTCTACCTCAGCACCCCCATCCCTACCCCAGTGCTGTGAATCGTTGGAGTAAAAGTAAAGTTGTTCCCACATCTGATCCGGACATTGGGAATTGCTTTGGTAGTGAGACAGCTTCCTGGGCCTTCGGCAGAGTGTGGTAGGGTGACCAGTTCCTTTCCACACCGCCTTTACTTCCCCAACTCGAAGTCAGGTACCCATTATTGCTGGGTGGGCAGGAGGGGGTGAAAAAACCCCCATCCAGACCGAGTCTCGAACCTGGACTTTCCGCTTCGGAGACGAGCGCTCTAACCGCTCCGCCACCACACTATCGTTGGATAAACAGCAAATATTGCTCCCCACCCCATAAAAATGGTAATGTCATGCTTGTATTCCTGTTGCTTGCATGGAAAATTCCATTCTCTAAATCCAGTCAGAGATACCTGTACCACCTGGTGTATTACCATAGACATCTAGATCTAATATAATTATGGGTAGGCCTTTTTGGCAGGTATCTGGATTGTGTTGCCACCTTTTGAACCTGGACTTTTTCTTCTTCCTCGTTCTTGATAATGAACCTGGACAATAGGCTACTTTCTTCAAAACTGCAATCACCATTAATAATAAGATCTAGAATCTAGAAGCTATACACCCCCCCCCACAAAAAAAAAAAAAAAATCATACCTGACCACCTTCCTTCTTTGGTCTGCCTTTGCTATAAATTTTACAGTTAAATAAAACTTTAAGTGGCAAAGTTGAACTATCATGACAAGAACCCCCACACACATATTATAAGCCGTTATGGAACTTTGTTTTTGTTTGTTTTGTTGTTTTTTTTTGGTGTGTTTTAAGGCTCTCGCAACTCTGCCTAGCCTAAGGTCATATATGAACGCGCAGGAGTCATTAAACATTTTCAGTTGGTAGGAAATTTTGAATTTTTCCTGGGTGGTGGCCGAAACCTACTCTTTATAGATTTTAGACCACCAAGGGATTTTTAACATTTGCAACTTGCACAAGGGACATCCGAGATTTTTCGCCCTTGTCCGAGAAGGGAGTGTGGCTGAAAGACAGCAGTAAGAAGGGGCCAAGGAGAAGCGGTTGAAAGGCTTCAGAAAATGTTAGGAGGCCAGTGAAGAGGGCAAAGGAGATGAAGGGGTGAGGACTGAAAGTGGAGACGAAAGCAGATGACAAAACATTGCTAGAGAACAGGAAAGGAGGTGAAAGGAGACAATTGTAGAGGATTTTTCCGTCGGTACCCGGATTCGAACCCGGGACCTTTGAATGAGAGGCGAACACCTTAACCACTAGGCCACGTGAGCCCCCTTTTGTCACGTTTTTTATCTGCTTTTGAATAGGGAGAAAATTTATAAGAATCTAAATATATGACAGTAAGTAAAATATTTTCATAGGGAGTGTCCCTCTTGCTTTCTGGGTATTATTGTACTCATGGACCCATCTCATCATGCTCAGATTCTAAAACACCTTTCTTGTTCATTTTATCTGCCTTTTATACAAATTTTAACTTTATATCCACTGCAAATTATTAGTTTATGAGATGTATGGACATTTTAATATGAACTGTACAATAGGACAAGATGCCGTTGTATTATTTGACTTGTTTTTAACAGCATGGGGGGTTTCAGGGGGGCACACCTTAATTTTATGTTTAGCAATTTTGATATATTTTCTTGAAAACGGTTGATTTGCAAGGGATTTAGTGGCTATATTTTTTGTGTGTTCTGCAGCAAAAATTAAAATTATGGCCATTTACCCCCCCACCCCCTTGCTTCTGCATGTGGGTTTAAAAGTAAAAATGTACCATTTTCTGTTTAAAGACAATTCCCAGCCCTACTTTGTTGCATTATCCATTATATATCTCAGACATTGCTGACAATGACATTGACATATTTTACATGTCTGTCTTTGCCCTTTGCTTATCTATGCAAACTACAAGCTCTGTTGTACTCTTTAGGTGGATCTTACATTAAATGGCAAGATGGATCTTACAAAAAGTGGCATTACTTTATAATGTGGCCGAAAGACAGCAGCAATGCATGGGTGCGGGGATAGTCCAGCAATCATAATCTCGTGTTTGTCTCAAAGTTTTAATTGCAAGCTTTTACACGTTTAAAATGTCTTTCACACTGTTTCATGGTATTAGTTTAGTTTCTTTTTTTTTTTGGTACCGCCATACTTTTCCCACACAAAAAAACAAAATCACATGTGTGTTATTATATAAACATACAGTGCAAAAGCTTGAAAATCAGAACTGTCCCTGCTTCCTTGTTTTATGTCTGTATTCACTGTATCCCTCTTGACCCCACCCCCTCCCCTGTCCCCTTACCTTCGTTCCTCCCTCCCTCGATTCCCTTCTGACTCTTGCCCTTCTTCACTCTGTCTATTCTTGCTTCATCCATCTCACTGTATCCATTCTATGCCCCTCTTTTTCCCTTCCTCTCTCTGTCTCCTTCTCTCTCTCTCTCCTTCTTGATAATGAACCTGGACAATGGGCTACGTGGCCGTTTGTACAGGCAGCCGTTTGAACAGGTGACCGTTTGTACAGGTGGCCTCAGACGATCACCTATTGTCGATGAGAAAAGTGGCCGTCGTAGGCAGCTGAATGTCTTAAACTGTGTCATTATAATATAATTATGTTAAAAAACCGCAAAGCCGTGAAAAGGAAACTGGCCGTTTTTTCAGTTGTCATATGCAGGTCCGCCAGAGAACGTCGGCTATTACTTATTTACAGTAGATTTTAAATTATAAAAGACATAATTGAAAATGGGAGCATAAATGCCATAATTACATCTAGAATGATTTCGCCATCATACTTCACTTTCCGATTACAATGTATAATTCACCCAGCAGTACGCCTGAGGCTGAATTGCGAATTGCCGCCGTTCGATGATTAGGCCAAGTTTTTTCCATACTGGGCAGCGAGCTCTCTGGGCCTGTTCCTGTCAAAGCTGCTCAGCACACGCTAAGGGGAGAAGGAGAGTACGTGTACCAGAGAGTAGTTTTAGCCTTCCAATCGTCCAGACTCACAAACTCATAATTAACATAATACCTCTTTCAAACATTGTAAGTGTATAAAGAAATGTGATTTTATTTGTAAGTTGGTACCTTTCATGAAATGGAATAATTTTTTTTAATGATAAAAGAGAACATATAAAGAACTGCTTCTTCCGGAACAAGTCTAAGCTTACGTCGTTCGCAGCCAGCAGGAATCCCCCCTCGCAGTATATTTAGGCCAAGGCCGAAACAAACAAGCTCTGCGCATGTCGGTCAACCTTTGCGGCTCCGGGGTCACCACAAGCCAGAAAGAGCGACGGTGCTGTAGAAAAAAATTCGTGTGAGGTTGGTGGTTGACAAGGGTAGCAACGTGGGATTTAGACTCGAAAACCAAGATCCTTGTTTTGATACAGTGCTTAGTATGGTTTAGGACCCTGATGACAGCTATGCCAAAGTTATAGTGCTGTGTGGTAAGTTGTTTTAACCCTCCTACTTAACCCTGCTCGTTCTCTTTTTCAGCTCTCTGGTGCTTGCGGTTAGAGGAGCCGATCAGCTGACGGCACGGTCCTCCTCAACTTTCGGCTTGTCTATACTCTGTGCACTTTATAACT